TCCCTGGAGACTGTGATTCCAGATTCGAAAAGTGACCAGCAATAAAGCTGTCACAGGGGATGGGGCCGCACTGTGGGGAGCCTCCCCCCAACCCCGGCCTCAAGCGAACTTCTGACCCATCTGACAGTCACACTCTGCCAGTGCTCACGTGAGGCTGGAGCTCAATGCCTCCACGAACATGCGCCAGGTGACGTTCCACCCCAAGAAGCTCCTGGCTAGTGGCATCTACACCTCAGCACAGAGTGCCAAGGCCAGGGACATGGCTGCAGGAACTCATCAAATGAGCCCACAGTAGAGCAACAAAGCTGGTGGCAGCAAATTAGCCTAATGGTAACCATCATCATCATCACCACAATTATCATCATCATTGTTACTACCATCAGCATCATCATCTCCATCATCATCTCATTATCATCCTCATCACCACTTCCACCATTACCATCATTATCACCATCGTCATCAATACCAACATCATCACCATCATCAATACCAACATCATCACCATCATCACCATCTCCATCACCATCATCATCATCTCCATCATCATCACCATCTCCATCATCATCATCATCACCATTACCATCATCACCATCATCAATACCAACATCATCACCATCTCCATCACCATCATCACCATCTCCATCACCATCATCATCATCTCCATCACCATCATCATCCCCATCATCACCATCACCATTACCATCATCATCAATACCAACATCATCACCATCATCACCATCTCCATCACCATCATCATCATCTCCATCACCATCATCATCATCTCCATCATCATCACCATCTCCATCATCATCATCATCACCATTACCATCATCACCATCATCATCAATACCAACATCATCACCATCTCCATCACCATCATCATCATCTCCATCACCATCATTACCATCTCTATCATCATCATCGTCACCATCATCATCAATACCAACATGATCACCATCATCATCATCTCCATCACCACCATCATAGTCTCCAACACCATCATCATCATCTCCATCACCATCATCACCATCTCCATCACCATCATCATCATCTCCATTACCATCATCATCATCTCCATCACCATCATCACCATCTCCATCACCATCATCATCTCCATTACCATCATCACCGTCTCCATCATCATCGTCATCACCATTACCATCATCATCACCATTACCATCATCATCACCATCATCATCAATACCAACATCATCTCCATCACCATCTCACTATCATCATCATCACCATTTCCGCCATTACCATCATCACCATCATCATCAATACCAACATCATCACCATCATCATCTCACTATCATCATCGTCACCATTTCCACCATTACCATCATCATCACCATCATCATCATCATCTCCATGTCCATCATCATCATCCTCATCATCACTGTCACCACCTTCGTAACCATTACCATCATCATCATCCTCATCATCACTGTCACCACCTTCGTAACCATTACCATCATCATCATCCTCATCATCACTGTCACCACCTTCGTAAACATTACCATCATCATCACCATCACCATCCTTATATATACAGCAGCAGGCACATACTGAGCACTGCTATGTGCCAGGCACTGAGTACTTGGCACGCTCTGTCTCACTGAATCTTTACAACAATATTGTGAGATTGTTAACTCTGTCACTCCCACTGGCACAGAGAGGACAAGCAAGTTGCCCACATTTACACAGTGATCATGAGCTGAAGCCAGGAATCTGAAGGCAGGCAGTGGGATTCTTAACCATTACCCTGAAACTCAAAGAGATTTCCCAATTGCTTTATAGGCAGGGTAAATCCTTAAAGGGACCCCTTTAATCATTCCATCAGCTATGTCAAGTAATGATACTTCCTGAGAAATTTCAGAGTGCCCCAGATCACTAGCCACCTGTCTTCTCTGTGCCTAGCAATACCTGTGCTAGACAGATAGAAAAATAGGACATGTCCCTTCTAAATATTTCTCTGCAGAGGCAAAAATAAAATTTACACATTCCGAAAGGTGATACCAAAGTTCCCTTTTTGGACAGGTAAAACTCACTTAATGGATGTTTCATGCACCCTCCTATAACTCCAATTTCAAATTTTGGGGTGCTCCATAGCAAAGCTGGCTGTGTCTGAGATGGTAAGACTCCCAAGTCCCTGGCGACCTGTTCTGCCTCTGACACAGGCAACCCTGTTGTCCTCAGGCCACTCTTGCTGGGTATAAAAACAACGGATGAGAATGGAGGATTGTTCAGTGCCAGGTGACTTATTTTATACTCAGTGTTGATCCTCTAAACTCTCACAGCAACCGCTTAGGAAAAATATTTCTAAGCCTCAATTTTGCTGGTGAAGGAAAGGAAATCAGGAGAGAAGAGACCTTTTCCAGGGTCACACAGTGACATGCAACAGAGCCCAGATTCTCACCCAGATCTTCAGTCTCAGGGCACCTGCTAACTAACTACAGCAATGCATGGCCTCCCAGGTTGCAGCTCTGGATCCTCGAGATCACTCCTGCTGTCGTAGGTGTCTGAGGAGTGTGAGTAGTGTCCACGTTCCACCAACTGTAGGGGGCTCAGGTCTACATCTGATGACTGCCAAGGAAAGGGGGTACCAGGGAGTTCAGCCCTCTGTCCCACCACTCCTTCCATCCAGGGAAGCTTAAACAGTTGTTTTCTTCCCCACTTCCCAAATCCCCTTTACTTGGGGGCTCCAGAAAAGGAGATGATGCAGCCTGTTCTCAGTAGCCTAAGCAAAGAGCTCACCTCCTGCATCACCAGACGGTTCTTCCTCGTGTCTAACCTAAACTGCTCCTGCTCTGGTCTAATTCATTTACATGGTACCTGCTGAGCTATGAGGAACCTAGTTAGGGGAATCATCCCCGCATTTCCTCTTGTCCCTTTGCCCGGGCCTGGAAGCTCATGACCGCGGCCCGGCCCTGACGAGCGCTACTGTAAACCACCTGCTCCCGTCCCCATGGCCGGCATCTCTCCAGAATTCACATTTCTCTGCATTAGAAGCAAACACACATATTTTCCTCTTTTTAGATTTGTTTTGTTAAACAAATTAATCTAGCACCAGATTATATTATGAAGAACCATAAATTGTTTCCAAGATAAGCATCTGTCGAGATGGATTAGCAACCTCCAATGCACTATGAATTAATTTGCTAAGTCTATAACGCTGTCCGGGTGTTTAACTTTAGTAATAACAAATGTAATTTGGAATAAATGGGAAATTGTCTCCTCATCCGTGTCTATATAGTAAGTGACATACACAGAGGAGGTGACACTAAGGGAGCGTAGCACGAAATTCTATTATAATGATGGCTGCTGAGTTTACGGAACTAAAAACCAATGCTTTGTAAACTCCTCGCAGGCACCTAAGGGTGCAAGATGAACTGCAGGCCCCGTGTGTCCGTGGATTCCCAAAAGAGGCTGCGTGGGAGGTAGCTGGTGCAGGGCCTCCGGAGCCTCTTCCTCCAGAGCCTCTCCCAAGCCCACAGCCTCCACCTCCAGGCACAGCCCCCAGCATCCGCAGGGAGCTCAGGCTGTGCTTCCATAGAAACACTGCTCTCTAGGGAAGAGGAGCTCAGAATAAAAAGCGCAGGTTCTGTTGTCCAGGTTAAGGAAGAAAGTAGGTCACCAGCTGAAGGACAAAAGCCGCCCACCCCAGGAAAACCTGTCCAGCAACTGCCCGGTGCCTGCCTGCCCGAGACGCGGAGGAACCCGGGCCAGGACGCAGCCTAGCGAGGACGCAGAGGGCCTGGCTGCCTGCCGTGCCGGCCGCCTGCAGGTGAACTCCGAAGAACCGTTCTCTTCCCTCCCCTGGATTCTGCAGAGGCCTGGGTGGGTCCCACGGAGCCCACAAGCCCGAGGGTGTGAAAAGTGAGGGGTGAGGCCACAGGGCGTCCCCACCCACTTTGCACTGACGCCCTGAAACCTGCATCGGATTTTACAGTTAGCAAATGCTACTGTTTGTCTAGAATGTGCACGCACAGATCTGAGTTGTGAACTTTCGGGCCAGCCTGGCACATTGGGCTGTGCCTGTTAACAGGGCAAAGAAAACTGGAGGGAGGTGAGGGTGACGGGGGCCCGGGGTGCTGAGCTCTCCCCTGCAGGCCTGCCTCGAAGCCTGGTGACATCAGTGCAGGCTGCCAGTTCAGGGACAAGGCTTCCTTTCCAAGGGTGACTCCTTTCAAAGCAAATGCAGGACAATGTATAGGAGGAAAATAAAAAACAGCAGAACTGCATGGAAGGAGATATCCAAAGCCAATGACCCGTGTGTGTCCACAGGCAGCTAGGGTAAAGCAGCAGGGAGCCAAAGCCCTTTCCAAGGCCCTGTGTTCTCATCTCCTCCCAACACCCTCCTCACCCCTCCCCAGGGAGCAGAATGCTGCCACCCAAATCACTGTCTGGGAAGCTTCTGTTAACACGACTGGAAGTTCTTCCTTTTACCTGGCCTTGGTCTTTCTTGCTATTTAAGGTCATTCCTGATCCTCAACTGAGGTCAAATTGGCAGGCACCCTGCCCCTTCACGGGTCCCACACCCTTGAAGGCTTTTGGAGACTCCTGGAGCGGGGAATCCTTTACTCTGTCACGAGACAAGCAAGCTTCTTACTCCCTGGGCCGGCCCCAGAGAATAGATTCTATGATTCTGGAAGCCATGGCTCTGTGTGGGGGATTCCGCCACTCCGTACCAGAGGCAGGAGGGGAGGAGCACCTGGCAGATCTGGCTGGTCCCTGACAGAGGTACGAGGGGTGCAGCGCCCACTTCTAGGTGCATACTCAGGCGGGAAACTCTCCCTTCTCACAGCGCGCTTCCTCTAGGGCACAGTGTGTATCTAACCGTCTACACGCGCGTGCAAGCTTGTGGATACATCATGCTTCTATCTCTCTCGGGGTCTCCGCATGTGACATCACCCCTGGGACATGCAAGCCTCTCTCCTGAGTCACACCCCCAGCCCTCAACCCCAAGCAAACCCAAACTAGAAGAGAGACGGCCATACCTGAGGCCTCCCCCAGAATCCTTGGGGGCTGGGTGGCTTCCCCACTGTTGCTGGGACTGGTGGAAGGCTCTGTTGTGCTAAGCCCACCTGGGATCCTTCTCCGGGGATCCAGGGACTCGGTGAATCCCTTAGTCTGCAGCGTCATGGGGGTGGCCGTGGTGGTGGCAGTGGTGGCGGCCACCGTTGTCTTCCGCGTCTGTAGGATGGAGACCGTGGTGGGGCCATAGATGGCCGGAAGTGTGTTGGACTCCAGGCCCTCCTCGTCCCCCGTGGGCCCCCAGGCGATGAACTCAGTCTCTGTGGTGGGCCGGCTGCCTCTGGAGTCGAAGCTGCCAAGACCGTCCTCCTGCAGGTGCCTCTTCCCCCGCCTCAGGAGAGCCTGCTGCTCCGGGGCCCCCCCGGCCACCGCGGACGACGAGGACGAGGACGACGAGGCAAGGGAAGGGCTGGATTTGGCCGCAGCTGGGGGTTTGGCCAGTCCTGCCTTGGGCACAAGGGCGGTCGCCTGGTCCCGAGGCCTGTGAGCCCGTCTGGCTCGGGACACCTGCATCTGTCCGTGGGTCCGCTCCACGCGGGGCGGCCGGGGGCTCCACACAGGGGCCGGGACCCGCGCTGGCTGTCCACTCCTAAAACTCCACAGCCGGGGCGGCCGGGGCGGCGACCGTGGCAGGAGCCAAAACTCGGGGCCCGGGCCCAGGGCCTCGCAGGCGGGCAGGTCCACGGCGAGCTGAAACATGGCTATCAGTATCCAGGCATGGCTTCCGAGGGGGCGGCCCGGCCAGCGGATGGACATGGAGCTGTGCGGGGGAAAGGAGAGAAGACCGGTCAGTGGACACCCCGCGCGGGGACTGGGCCCCGGGGCCCTCCCTCTCCAGCCCTCACTGTGACAAGGTCGCTCTTCTCTTCCAGAAAGAGCTCCTCCTAACTTCAGAAGGCAAGCCGAAACCCTTCCTTCCTTTACTTCAAAGGCTGACTCACGTGTGGTTTGTTCATCAGACCTGGAAAGCCGGTGCAGGGTGGAGGGTGCGAGGAGCTGCTTCCCGGCACCGCGGGGCTGGGCGCCTGCCACACACAGCTCGGCTGCTCACCGGACAGTCCACTTCACGGGAGGGCAAACCGAGCCTCAGAAACCCCCAGCCTTCCAGGTCAGCCTTGACAAGGTCTGAAAAGACCTGGAGTCCCTCCTTCCTTTTGCCCATCATTTGACGTAAGTGAGAGGGTGGCAGAACCGGACGCCGGCCTCTGCCTCGAACCCCAGGGCAAGTGCTTTCCTCTGCATAGCCCAGGCCACCTCCTGCCCACTGGAGAAGCCCCTCTCCCCAAGTCTTGGGGGGCAGAGGTCTCAGGCTCCCAGCGTGAGCCGCAGATGCTTCCTGGCACCTACGCCTGCCAGGCCCTTGCACCTTGCAAACACCACCCCCTCCCCCGGCCCTCACCCAGAGCCCAGCATGCGTATTGTATGTAAGCAGGCATTGCTTGAAATGCAGTACATGGAAAAGCTTCTTGCTTCTAGCCTCCCCTGGATGGTACTCAGGGAAATGAGATCTGCTCTGGATAAGCTGAAAGTTTATTGACCCGAAGTGTTTGTTCTGTTGACATTTCCGCTCCCCCTGTTTATCTGCAGCACCGGTGCCCTTTGAAACCCTGTTATCCACCTCCTCAGCTCCCAGGAGGGCTGGAGAAAGGGCAAACACGGGCGACCTTGAAGCGGGGCGGGGCTGCCTCTCCAAGCTGCAGGGCTGCAGGGGAGAGGCCAGGACGGGCAGGGCAAAGCCTTGGTCTGCTGAGCGGTCCCTCCCCAGTTCACCCGGAGCGGCTCTGTCACCAGGCCTGGGTCGCTTCCGGACCAGTGGACGCTCCGGTGTCACGTGAAAACCAAGGCGCGGCAGAGAGCCACGTGGAAGGGCTCAGAGGAGCCAGGCCCACGCTCCCTCTTCCGCCAGCACAGATAATTGAGGACTGATTATAGGTGTCATTCAAAGTCAGCTCTCATCACCAGCCTCACGTCTGAAAGTTAAAATGAATCCCAAAACTGTAATGACTGCCTTGGGTGGGGTGCAGGTGGAGGGCGCAAGGGTGTTCAGGTGCCAAGCGCCAGCCTGATGAGCCGCTCAGAGCCAGGCCGGGAAAGTGAGTTGGGTAGAGTTTTTCTGTATAAGGCAGTGAGTGGCTTCAGGAAAGAAGGCAGCTGTGTGTGTCCTTGTGATGTGTGCATGGAAGTGTGTGAGTGTGTGTGCGTGTAGGCATGCACAAATATGTGTGTGTGTATGACTGGATATGAATGTGTGCGCCTGAGTCCAGCTGTGTGAGTGTGCCAGTGTGAGACTGAGCCGGCGTCCATGAGTGTAAAGACGCATCTAGGGTGTGTCCACGAGTGTGAGAGACTGTGTGGTGAGGGCCAGGGTGCCTGTGTGTATTTGGTGTGTGTGTGTGAGAGTACTGCTGCGTGACTATGTCCATGTGTGTCAGCTCAGAAGTGTGTGAGTGCATCTGTGTGTCAGTGTGTATGAGTGTATGTGTCCCTATATGAGTGTGCAAGTGGTCTCTGTGTAAGTATCTGTATTTGTGTGTGGTGTTGTGTGTGTGCAACTGTGTCCCTGTGTGTGTAACTGTATCTGTGTGTCCCTGTGTGTGTCTGTGTCTGAGTATCTGTGTGTGTATTTGTGTGTGTGTGTGTGCAACTGTATCTGTGTGTCCCTGTGTGAGTGTGCAGGTCTATGTGAGAGTATCTGTGTATTTGTGTGTGGTGGTGTATGTGTGTGTGCAAGTGTATCTGTGCATCCCTGTGTGAGTGTGCAAGTGTGTCTGTGTCTGTGTGAGAGTGTGTATTTGTGGGTATTGGGGTGTGTGTGTACAACTGTGTCTGCGTGTCCCTGTGTGAGTGGGCAAGTGTGTCTGAGTGTCCATATTGGAGGCTCTATGTGTGAGTGTGTCTGCGTGTGTCTGCACGGGAGAGTGCAGCTGTAGCTGTGTGTGAATGTGTCCCTGTGGGCACACCCTCCATTCAGTACCGAAACCCTCGTGCCCAGGGCTGACTCTGATATCTGGGGAACAGATGGCCCCCTGCTCATCACGATGGTGAGAGAGAAACTCTTGCTACTGAGAGCTATTTACCAAAAATGATTAATCCCCAAACAATAAGACTTCAGTTTTTTTTTCCTTTTGTTTGGCTTTTTTTTTTTTTTTCAGTTTTCTAATGAGAACGGAGGTACTTTGCTGCAGACACGGGGAGCTCCTCATCATGCTAATCCTCACCCCGTGCTTCTGCCGGCGTGCAGTATCTCTGCGCTAGCAGCCAGTTTCGGGCAGGGACCAGGACCACCACCACCGCACAGAAGGATTTGGGACAGACTTAAATTCCCCCATATGCACCCTAAGGTAACTCCTTTGTGGCTACAGGTGACCCTGTAAGGACGGGAGCTGGCTTAAAATCTCTAGTTCTCCCATGACCCGCATGCTGGGTGTGAGTCTAGCCCCCAGGAAGATGAGACGCTGCTCTGAGCGGGTGCAAGGCCTCACTAGGCCCCACCAAGCCTCACCAGGCCTCACCAGACTCCACCATGGTCTACCAGGCCTCATCAGACCCCACCACACTCCACCAAGCTCCACCAGGCCTCACCAGGCCCCATCAAGCCTCACCAGGCCTCGCCAGACTCCACCATGGTCTACCAGGCCTCATCAGACCCCACCACACTCCACCAAGCTCCACCGAGGCCCCAGCAGCATCCCCCGCCCCGGCAGGCTTAGAACCTGCCTGCCATCAGTACTTAAGAGAAACATTGCCCCAGGAAGCTAAACCCATAGCACCCAAGCCTGTGCCTTCCTCCCCGGCATAACTTCACACGCAGGATGTATCTGTGATTTTTCACCAATCATGGCTGTAATTGGTTACTATAGAAACCCCCTCGCCTTCAAGCCGCCCAGCTGTTATGCAGAAAAACCAACCACTTGCCAAGGTGGCAGGGAGAGGTTGATCTGTTTTTCCTCTTTGAGTCCGGTTTCTTCCTTTTTAAGTGATTTATTTGTTCAGAGAGGAAAAAAAAAGAAGTAAGGTGGACAACCAGGAAAAGAGGCCCCAGCCCACCCCCAGCAGCCAAGAAATGTGGGGGGCAGGGGGAGCCCCTCCCACAGGGAGATCTGTAGGGGTCTCCGCTCATCTCGGTGCAAGGCCAAGAGTGTCCCAGGCTCTGTGTGGCCATCACCTGGCCGAGCTCCGTGTGCTGCCCGGACCTGGTCCTGGGACTCCTGCCGGCGCCTTGATGAGAGGCCACAGCAGGAGGAGGATCTGGCTGTATCTGCAGGGACCGGGGAGCAGCACAAACAATCTCTGTCATCACCCCTCCGGCAGCTCTGAGATGAGGCAGAGCCAGGACCACTCTTCTCGCTGATCCTTCTCAGCCTGGGCTGGGCTCTGGACATCTCTCATTCTGTGATGAACAGGTCCTGGGAGGGCCTCACCCCAGGAAGCCGTCAGACGTTCACTAAGATGGCAGGCACCCCCACACTCATTGGGAGGGGGTCCCTGTAGCACGGCTGACCACACCGCCAACCATCAGGAGGTCAGGGTGGGCAGAAGTGGCACTGGGTCCCCCAAACTCAAGCATCCATAGGCCCCTTAAGAACACACCACCCACGTCACACCCAGAGAGACAGCTCCGAGCAGAAAAACAGACAACACGAAGCGTTGGTGAAGACACAGGAGACGGGAGGCCTAGTACCCTGTTGGTGGGAATGAAACCCAGAATGCCCCTGGGCAAAACAGTTTGGCAATTCATTAGAACCCTAAAGATGGTGTTACAGCGACCCAGCTGCCCCCTCTGAGGCATGGGCATCTGTCCACGTGAAACCTGCACGTGGAGGCCCAGGGCCACACTCCTCCCAACAGCCAAAGCTCACACAGCCCACGTTTCCATCAGCTGAGGGACAGATACAGAGAATCTGGCCTAATGATACAATGGAGTGTTGCTCAGCCTTTAAAACCACGGAAGGATTGCTTGATCTTATGCTTCGATGTGGCTATACCGTGAAAACCCTGAGAAGTGAAAGAAGCCAGGCACTCAAGGCTAAGAGGTGCACGGTTCCATTTACAGGAAATGCAGAGTGGGCAGATCCATAGAGACAGAAAGATGAGCAGTGGCCCCAGGCTAGGGAGAAGGGTTCTGGGGTATGGGGTTTCTTTTTGGGGTGACGAAATGTCCTGGAATTGGGTGAACAACCCCATGCACATATGAAACCCACTAAACTGTATGCTTGTAGTGGGTGAGTTTTTTGCAATGTAAATTATATTCCAACACGAATCAAAAGGAATGTGTGCAAGGGTTGGGGGATCATGTGTGGTGTGTGGCATGGCACCCTAATCCTGGCCCTGGCAGATGGGTGGAAGGCAGGGCAGCCCCAGAGCTGCAGGCATGTGAGCAGGGGGAAGCCATGGAGACTTTGGCTTCAACCGCCCAGTCCTTGCTGGGACACCCTGAACGTGAGACAGGGCCCTGCCTGAGCACCTGAGAACAACATCCACACCCTTCAAGAAGGGGTGAGGGCAGCTCCCCCTCAACAGCTTCCAGCCCGTGATTTTCAAATGGGGAACAACACTCCTTGGCCGGCCGCCATCCAGCTGCTTCCAAACGAGGAGCGACCGCTCCACCTGACTTTATTTTCTAGTTTGTGGCTTTCTTGCTTCTCTTCCTTTTAAATTTTTATTGAAATCTTTTTTCCCCAAGAACAGTTTAATAACATTTGCTGAATTGAGATTCAATTCACTACCTTCTGTATATTTTCTTCACAGAAGAAAATCACT